TTCAAACAAACATATGCTTCTTAATTTACTAAAAATATTTCCATACATTTCCCCTCGCGGGTAGCGCAGCGACCTTCCCCTGGATGTCTGATGTTGGTTATATGGCCCATCGACAAGAAAATGTTGCACATCCCCTGATCTAAAGTTAACCCACCATGATGAGGTTTCAGATTAATACAGAGAGCGAGAAAAGCCAATAAAACTGATGAATCATTGAGGTTTTCTCGTTCGGTGAATCGAAATGCAAATTTTTATAATTAAGTTGCATTTATTTTGTGCTTATACAGTGAACGTTTTTTCTTATACTTTTTTTGCTTTTTCTTATATATAAGTTTATAAAAGATTTTCGCCTCACAAATTTTATTTAATATTACTTGACCGGCACCGTGTTGCTTAACCAGCGATCTTGTCAGAAAACTCGGCCAGAGAAACCGAACCGGTACTGAGACTTCCTGTCCATGTAATAAAGCATGCAATGCACTTATTTTATTACACAAGCACATGTTATGTTTTTTATGTATTATTAAATATATAATAAGATTTTATATAATAAAAAGTGTACCAACTTGAGAATTGTAATTTTTGCAGCGAGTTGTAATGCTTTTACTGTATATAGGTGTGTCCAAACGAGGTTTTGAGCCTTCAAAGAAAAGCGAAATGAAATGAGTACTGATAGAAGAGTTATTGAACATTTTAAAGCCTATTGGTTTATTATTCGTTTAAAATAAGAGGTTTTTAAAACAACAATAATATAGCAAAATATTCGGCGATCCGGAAGTATTCGTACCAAAATGACGCACAACCTGAACAACCCTGACTTGGTACTCATACTATGTTCAGGTTGTGCGCCATTTTGGTACGAATACTTCGGGAGCACCAAATATTCCATAGGTCCATATGTTCCGTGTGGCATGTTACAAACCAAAGAGATCTTGTCCGGGTTGAAACCCTGATGACCAGCGACTCGACGTTAAAGACTTGTGGGCTGTCACTAGTGGGATCTAGTAGTTCGGTTAGGGGTGATGCGAAGGAATAAGCTAAAACCATACTCAAGCAAACATTATTTCAGCAAGCAAACGTATTTCCTGAATCTAATGCTTAAAATCGTGTTTGGTTCAAGGGTTTGCGTTAACATTTTTGAAATGTTATGATAATCAGTGACCCCCTTTTTGTATTTTGTTTTAGACATTAAACGACGAGCATTCATCAGAGCAGACTATCGTTACATTCGGTGTTTTGAAAGTTATGTATTGGGTGTGTCAGTACTCCCGTAGTATGATAGGCCATAATTTTATTCCGATTTTCCTTATTGTTTTGTTAGTCAAGTGAATTTACCCTTTGCCAATAGGTTTCAGTCCCTTTACCCAACTTGATGTAAAACAGGCAAACAAAATTAGTTCATACCTCTATATTGGTACACATACTTCTGGAGCGCCTGTGTGCCGTGTTAATGTAGTTGTTGGATAATTCGATAATAAAAAGAATATTAAGTTTTGATTTCACCTCTGCTTGATAACCAGTTTTGGTTCCCTGAATGAAAAAATAAACTTGACAATGACTGCTTGAACATCTCGTGCACAATCTACATTTATCGAGCAAGACCTGTGTATATTTTAATATGCGGTAATCAAATACCTATTAGGTTTATCACCATTATCAAACTTGCTTTGTACACTTTAAAGGCCATTTTGTTCTTCAAGTATTAGATTTGCTTTTACATACATTTATACAATTCGAACTACTATTGCAAACTTCTTCCTCGAGCTGCTGAAATGTTACATGCGGGATCTGCTTCAACCAAAAAGGTTGAAAACCAAATATAAAGCAGCGGTTCCAAACCTTTATTTCCAATAACCAAATTAAAAAATTTTTGGAAAACTCTTCGCCTCAAGAATATTACTAAAGCATTTATTACTATTATTGCCGCAAAATTGAATGACCTTTATAAAAAATCATCGGACCTCTTGAAGTATGCGCACCAAGATGGCGCACAACCTGAAAATAGTATGTGTACCAGATTAGGGTTCAGGTTGTGTGCCATCTTGGTGCGTATATTTCTGGAGCACTGAAAACACAGTACAAAAATCCATGACTCTGTCCTAAAGTATTAAAACAAACAGCATTGAAGCTTGAACAACAGTATATTTATTGTACCATCTCAATATAAACAACGGATAAAAGGATTCAACATATCACACTAGAACAAGGGCAAAGCGAGGGGTACGGGGGAGAATAGTGAGGGTCCAAACCCCCTCTTTCGAAATGTAGAAAAAAGCATTTTTGTGTCATACATAACAATTTTTCGTAGCTTGGAACGATTTTTAGACCTTCAAGAAAGCGCTAACTGATACGGTCATAAAAATTCTCTCGATCCACCCCTGCATTAGACACGAAGATTGCAATGATAAATTATCGGAACTAGAAAACCGTGAATCGACTCCAAGAGCAAAATGCCCTTGTCTTTCAAAGGGAACGCGGATCATAAAATCATTCATCGTGATTATACTTTTATAATGGGAAAAATGGAAATATGCGACAAAAAAAGAAAAACATGAAAACGAGAGAGAAAATCACTAAAAACAAAGAAAACACAAAAAATTGACAGATTGAATATAGTACAGAAAAAATTGTCAAATGAATAAAAATTTCATTAAGTTTCCGCTATTGACAAGGCTTTAAACAAGTAGAACATACTCCCCAAAGTTACACTTTGAAAAGACCCAGTTTTAATTATCTGGAGAGGATTTCACTTACGCAACAAAGTGAAAACATCCTGTGAAATAACCTTATCAAGCAATGAAACTAGGAAGAACGGTGAGTTTTCTTGTAAAAGAAGTAAAATCAGTTCTGCGCCTAGCATTGTGGGCCACCATGAGACCACGGTCGAGAGCCGCCGGTGTAGAATATGTCCCAAGTGACTTATATTTTTTTTTTAGGTCCTCCTGTTTGATATTTTACTATAAACTCAGATTATTACTATTAGTACAGGCCATGTAAAATATACATGACGAACAACAAAAAATGAAAGAAAAAAGCTATTCACGTGATAAAAGAGATGAAGAAAATAATATGAATGGTGCAATGGTGAAGTAACAATTATGGAAAATGTGTCACTGTTGAGAGGAAAGCCGATAAGATGGCATTATCATACAATAGGATTTTTTTTTACCCGGTGGAGACAAAAGGGATGAGATTGTTCAATCATACGGTGAGTCACAGCGCCTCATCCAGTTACCAGTCCATTTCTGTGGGAACTGTTATAAATTTCAAATACATAAACTTTATGATGGAGAAAACTCATTTAAAAAAATGATACACCCGAAGTATGTGAACCAAGCTGGCAATCACGGGAACGTAGTATGTGTACCAGCTTAGGTCATAATTTTATTCTAATTTTCCTATTATTTTCTATTACGAGTTCGGGGACTAGCCAAGTGACTCCGGTAGTATTTGTACCTGAAATTATGGCCTAACCCTAAGCTGGTACACATACTTCGTTCAGGTGTCCGCCATCTTGGTTCACATCCTTCGGGAGTAACAGTATCTATATTTATCCTGGGGAGGCGAAAGCAGATACAATGGCTTATTCATATGACGAACTAAGTTTTCTAGTCAGATTACCAGTCCATGTCAACATGATAGTGATTATCCAGTAACTCATTTCAGATGCGTAGGATTGATAATTTTAAAAGCTTATTACAGTTATTATTCCAGGGGAGAGGAAAGCTGATAAGACAGCTTAATCATATGGCGAACCATACTCTCATACGGTTACCAGTCCATGTTGGGTATGGGGTTCCCACTGAGTTATTTTATTCTTTCTCTATTAACGAAGCAATAGCTTGCAAAAAATTTTGAATGTGTTTTCCTTAAAAAATATTTGCCTGAGTACGCTAGTTGGATATAATTGGGAGTTTTGAAGAATTTTGAAATCATTATATTAAAGAAGTTGAGCTACTTTCAGAAAATCAATAACTAACAGAAATTCAATTCAAAATGTCGCAAATACATAAAAATTCAATTTTTCCTCCCAGAGACACTGATTTTCATTTTTTTTGAAAATAGGGCAAATTTCACAAAAAATTCGGATGATATAAAAATTTCTGTCATCTCGTGGGCAAAGATTTCAATTTTATATATTTCAAAGAAAAAATCAGATTTAGGACATATATCTTAACCAGGTTGGTTTTATTTTAATTAGTGTTTATTCAGGTTTTTTAATTTATTCAATACATCTGTAAGGACCATCAAATATTTGCAATTTGAAAATTTTTAGGACTGTATGAAGTCCTTCATATATTGTATTAATATATTTGCCAAAATTATAATTAACAAAGTGTGACTTGGCAGCAGTGACACTTTGCAATTAGAATAAGAATATTCCGACCATACACACTTCAATGGTCGATTATTGTGAAACTGGACCAAAATTATCTACACAAAAATAAAACAATGGAACTAAAAACAAAAATATTATGACATCATAAAAGCACACACAATAATATGCTGACAACTACAATTGCAACGAAAATAAAAAAATGAAGATTTCGGCCGGAATTGGACTATTTGTGCCGCCATTTTGGCGCTATGTGTTGTTTATACCATGTCTTTATTGCCTTTCGCTCTGAGCAAGCTGAGATTTTTGGTGTACCCGAAGTATGCGAACCCAGATGGCGGACATCGGAACGTAACATGGGTAACAGGTTAGGGTTAGGCGATAATTTTTTTCCAATTTTCCTATTTTAGTCCTATTATCAGTTCGAAGACTAGCCAAGAGTCTCCCGTAGTATTTATACCAAAAATTATGGCCTAACCCTAACCTAGTACACATATTACATTCCGATGTCCGCCATCTTGGTTCGCATACTTTGGGAACCCCAGATTTTTACTCTAACCTCCGCTAAAACAACAAGACTTCCTCTAGTTGAGATTCCTTTATTCTTGGAATTAGACTATTTGTGCCGTCATTCTGGCACCGGCTATTAGGATGCTGTGTTTTCTAAACCAGGCTACTGATAAGTAACGATACGCAAGGAACTATTATTCTAGAAAAAATTGAAAACTTTGAGGCCCTGCATTGCCTACTCAAGGGGTGAGCAAACGGAAAAACTGGAAATGAAAGAAAAAATTACTAAAAACCCCCAAAAAACGTGTGAAATTGGTGTACTCTTTGCAATCCCTAGAGTTTGTTGCCCCCTCCCTCACCAGCGGGGTCGCGACCCCCCAGTTTGGAGAGGCCTGCTATATACCCTTGTTCAGGGAAAAAGGCATAATTGAATGGTCTAGTTTCCTTGACAAGATAACTAGAACTATTTCCAGTCTTGATCTGAATGGCCACACAAAAATGTAAAATTTCATTTAACTATTTTAAATAATAATATAAAAAATTGAATTTGGAATGAATATGTCTCACATAAAAAAACTGAAAATTTCGGCGACAAAAATATATGGTCGCCAATAGTAACAAGCGGCAAAATTCATTTGAAGTGCCAAGAGTTATATAGGGCGGCGTTTGAGTCTATGTGACCCCGATTTACGTATTTGGCAAGAAATAGCAAAGAGACTTTCTGTTCAGTTCGCACAGTTTTAAGCTTCGTGGCAAATTTTAAGTCTCTGGGGAGGAGGGCGCTGTTCATTTTTTTGTCAGTTTTTTTTCGCTGTAGCAAATTCGTCAAATCAGAAAGAAAAGCAAGAAAACAATGAACATTGATCCTCCAAGAACACCGATTGCACACCATTGTCGTCGATCTGAAAAAAAAAGAGGTTTCAGGATTGAAAAATTTAGTTACTACCGTAGTATAATTTTATTCCACCATAATTTTATTCCAAATTTCCTTATTTTAGTTCTATTACGAGTCGAGGACTGTCTGTGTTAGCCAAGCTGATATACCCCCTGCTCATAGGTTTCAGTCCCTTTACATAACTTGATGTAAAGTAGGCGAACAAAATTAATACCCTTCATATTGGTACACACACTTCTGGAGCGCCCAAAATTGATTAGGATTGAAAGAAAGTCTAGGAATATTTGACATGACTGAGAAATTCGAAATCACAGTGGCTTGATCAAGTCTTTATCTGGACCAAAAGGCCTGAATAGGAATCTTTTGAAAGTAGATCTTCATATAACGCTTTATTAGAGGTCACAATTTAAAACTGTGACCACTAGAGTATGCCAATGAGCAATCGGAAATCTATTCAATTCTATTGTGATATATTGTTACTTCTCTTTTTATTTGTTTTTTTTATTTTCATTATTTATCAAAATGTGCTGTAGACTAGATGACGAAGCAATCCGCTCTTCCCAACACCCGCCATTTGATACTTATCACATACACTTTATTGTTGGTGCTTCCGAAGTATGTGTACCAAGATGGCGCACAACCTGAACATATGATGTGTGCGAGGTTATGGTTCAGGTTGTGTGTCATCTTGAAATACATACTTCCGGAGCGCCTTATTGTTGAATGTTTTCTTTTTAATTGAAGTGACAAATAAAATAACCCCGACTCTGACATGATTTGAAGGTAACCATTTCTCAAGAAACACTAGATCTTACAACTTAACCGCTGAAAATTTGCGTTTATTTTGGACAGTCGATTTACAGAAAAACTAGGCGCCCCTGAAGTATGTGCACCAAGATGACACACAACCTTAACCCTAACCTGGTACACATACTATGTTCAGGTTGTGCGCCATCTTGATGCACATACTATGGGAGCACAGAAAATTATAGTTTCAAACCGTTCTGCAGCACGGAAAAAAGTTTATGATCGAAATGTAAAGAACTTACCATTAGACATGTGCGTCACTTTGGCCATTTTCCGCAGGACCGTGTCCATTCGAGATTGCGTGTTTTCCATCTCATGTCCGAGACCTTCAAGCATAACAGCTTGTTCATCGAGTTCATTTCCGATAGATCTGGAGAACAAAATTAGTTCTAGTAGTTAGAAAAGTTTGGAACCGTGTTTTTCGAAGCAGCAAAGTTGTCATTGCTTAAATCCTGAATGTTGCTTTGAGTAGAAATGCTGATTAAATAATCAGCAATGTTAATGGTTAAGTTAGTATTTCTCTCGGAAAATTTTGGAATTGAAACGATAGGCAAATATGGCTCCTCAAATGCATCGTTTATGTATGTTAGAAAGAGCAAATTCTCCCAGAATTGAATGGTCACATGAGTACTGTTGCCCAATAACGTTGTTAATTCCTACGCTACCAAATTATCGAATAGTAAAATAACATTCTGAAATTTTGAGAGAATGACAAAATCAAAAGATTACTGTGGCGTAACAATGGAAATTATGCCCTGGGAAAGAGTTTCTCCAATATCCCCCAAACATGAAAATCCCCCCCCTCCCCAAACAACAAATCCATACCACTAGGAAGAATTCCCTTCCGGTCAAGAAACACTTACTTCAGGTTTACTTACTTTGACATATTCTTTAAAACTCCAACGCTGTCTGCAACAAGGTCTAATTGGTCGTCCTGCTGCTCAATAAGCAACTAAACAAAGAAAATAAGATTTGAAGGTAAATCTGGCGTACCAATATGGAAGTAACTAATTTTGTTCGCATACTTTACTTCAAGTTGTGTAAAGGAACGGATACCTATGAGTAGGGGGATATTCACTTGGCCAACACAGACACTCCCCGAACTCGTAATAGAACGAAGAAAAATAATAAAAAAAATCGAAATAAAATTGATCATTTTTGCACATTTTAGCAAGGTTTTTGATCATTTTTGCAGGGTTCTGAATTCAGTTTTGGCACGAGGCTCATTGTTTTCCACTTTTGCTTTTGTAACACTGCAACTATTGTTCATCGAATGCAACTTTTTATGTCACACGGCCTGTCAGTTCAGATGGGCAAAGTTTCTGGCTCCAGGACCAAGAACCTTTTCCCCCCACTGGTATAGAGCCTTATCCGAAATAAAGACCCAAATAAGCAGTATAGGAATGAAAACTATGAATAAAAAACATTTATTTACAACAGCCAGGCTAACTTTATATAATAGTAAGCACAATGTAACAATATGGGTCATTACTTATTGATTTTAATTGGTAAGTATGTTGATAGTTATTCGTCTGTTTGTCTATCTGTCTGTTAGATGCACGCGATATTTCACGAAAGCGAGATTAAATCTGCTCCAGATTTTGCATGTGCATTCATCATTTCACAGACCAGAAGCCTATTGATTTTGGATGAATTATGTCGTATAAATAGCGAGGTATTAATCAATTAGTGATGGGACACAAGGTGTCACTATGGAGTAAGAGCGCTGTTTTGGGGGATCCCCTAACTTTCAATCGATAAGTCTTTGGTCTCTGACCGATATTCTCGTTATGACGTTATTTGCGTCAATGTTTTTAGCGAAAATAGAGACTACAGTCATAATTTCAGCAAACACAAGAGGGAATCCATCAAGCGAGCCATAATTTGCCCACCCATGCAATAAACCCATCTTCATGTATTTCCTCTCCCACTTTTGAAACTAATGCACTCACCCTCTGTTGCTGTTGAGTGTCTTGAATAAATCGATCATTTTCGTCTCCTTCAATATCCACTGCGGATTGGTTGACGTAACCTCCACCGTTGTGGCTTCCATATCCAGCATTTCTGTGGATTCCGTTCCTCAGGAGACTCTGTGAAGAATATCAAAATAGATTTAAGAATTATTATTGAACACGGAGTGGAGCTATGTATCGTTTTTACTTTAACTATGTTGATAGGTATTTGTCTGTTAGATACACGCGATATCTCACGAACGCGAGTGTGAATCTGCTACAAATTTTGCATGTATGTTCATCATATCTCTGACCAGGAGCCTATTGAATTTGGATTAATTATGTCATATAATTACCAAGTTATTTATTAATTAGTGATGGAACACATGGTGTCGCTATTGAGTCAGAGCAAAATTTTTTGTTTTGACAATGTTTTTTTATTCTTTGACGAGTAAAATATTAAACATGCGGAAGATCGTTATGTTGTTGTTCTTTGCGTTACTTCCTATCGTTATAAAAAAATTGCTTTTCTCCGTGATTACATCGCTTTCAAATTTTCAGTGGTTATTAAAGATTGTGTTTTTCCCTAGAAGGCTATTATTTTTATTTCTTCCCAAATTTTCTATGAACCCTATGTGATCCGATATTTCATTCAAAATGTCGCTATATTAATTCTTACTCACGGAAACGCGGTTTCGCGATTGAATATCAGGCCGACAGGTCAGTACTGATAAGTTACCGTACCGCGTATGATTCTCGGATAATTAATGATAGAATATTTTGCATGCCCTCCATGTGTCATATTTGAGCATAGCTCTTTTGTTTTCTATAGGTACAACACTTATTTATTACCTTTTTTGCCTCAGACAGGGCATTTACCAAAAGGTGTTGTAAACTGGATGACGGAGCAATCTGTACTTCCCGTCATTTTATTACTATACTGATTACATACACTTTAATATTGAATGTTTTCTTTTTTAATCGAAGTGACAAATAAGATAACTCTGACTCTGGTAGTATGTATTTCATTGCAGCAGGCTTTCATGACATTTGGTTGCAAAACATAACACAGTAATAATTCCTCATAGTGGTTGCTCTTAATTCGTTTAGTACATACGAAAACTTTTTGTGAGGCTAAAAGTCTGAATTGGTCCACCGACAAAAAAGTAGGCTTGTATCAAGCTAAAGAAAACTCACTTTTCTAGACAAGTCTTCCAATTTGGCTTTAACTGCAGGACTAGTCAACTCATCTCTCATTCCATGGATAATCTTCCGTGTCGTTGTGATAAAAGATTTACGTTCTTTTAGTTCCGCATGAGTGATTTTAAACTTTCGTGGATTTGCTTCAACGATTCGTGATGATAGGAGTCAAGGATAAATGTGGTGGGCGGAGTCAAAAAAATTACAATAAACATTTGTTGGTAATTTTTTTACAAACATTGAAACTAAACTCTCATCTGGTTATCTCTAACCAAAAGGATTTCAGTCCACCCCAGAATTGTAAAAATGTAAAAAATAGGATTAAAATGGTGGCTTGCAAATATTTTTAGTACTTTTTCCACTTTTAGTTGGTGGATCGGGACCTTGCCTTGAGCAAACTTGCAACTCTTATATCCGTTAACACAACTCTTATATCCGTTAACACAACACTTATATCCGCAACACTTTCCGTTAAGAGCTGAGACCTTAATTTTAACAAACTTTTACAAAAATCCTATTGATCACTCAGAGGTGCTTGTTTAACACTTGTGTTTCTGACACCACTTGACCTGTGACCTGTGTCATTTATCAAAAATTGACGGCAAATGAGTAGAATACTTCAGGCCATTTGTTAGGCATGGGCCAAGCATCAGACTTATTCTTAGAAATACACATGGCCAATTTTAAAATGTGTATAGGAGTGTTGGTATACTTTTGAAATGGTTCCATTACATTTGAACCCATGACAATTGCACTTGTATGCTATTGCACCTATGGAATTTTTTTTGTTTCACGGATAGTTAAACCCATACTAACCCTAACCCATGGGTTTTAGCACCCGCATATAGATTGAACCCGTGGATATACACATGGGTTCCAATGTACGTGGGTTCAAATGTACGGTCACCTTTTGAAATATATATTAGATATTCCATATTCACGAATATCATCTCAGGAAGCAATTAGAATGGCTATCATTTTATTATTTGACAATCAAAACTCAAATAAAATGGCCAAAATTCTTCTCTTCGCAGCGACAGTAAAAGTTCCGGTATCAATTTAAAGTAACAGACTACCTGACTCACAAAACATGAAAAATGAGACATCCTGGGCATAGCTAAAATTAGAAAAACATTAAACAAACAAGTCAGGGAGGGATCATATTACGAATGAACACGAGCCTACTGGGTGTATGTACATATAGGGTCAAGCCTTGTTCGGCCTTTATACATGTTGCTCAAAATATCATTTTGTGTAAAACATCTCACCTTTGCACCTCGTAAGCGCGATGGGCCGACCAAACAAAGCATTTTTTGCAACCCTCCCTGCTCATTGAGTATGCTGTGAAAATGTCTTACAATTACATACAAAATTCAAATTGGTTTTTAGAAATGAAATATCTAAATCAGTGGTTGTAAAATGGTGGGGTGCGGCCCACAAGGGGAACGTAGATAATTTTATTGAGGGGGTGTGAAGATAATTCAAAATAAAAAAATATCACGGTAGTTAGATTTGATCTTGCCTGCCTTATTTTGGATATTTACATTTCTTTACTTTGGGTATTTACGTTCAATGCACATTTTTTCAAAACATATTTTCATCTTACTATCCGTTACTTGTAGCTCATTGTTAGCTAGTTATTTTTGAGGTGGGGCGCGAGACTTGACAAATTCTAAAAAGAGGACGAGGATAAAAAAGTTTGACACCTAATGATCTAAACCATGAATTGTCAAAACAAACGTCTCACTTGAATTTCCTAAACTTATTGACGAATCAAATGAATCAGTCGTATCGACATTATTTTTTTTCATGAACATTAACTGGTAACGAGTCAAACTACCAATCCATGCGAAGTATAGGAATAGTGAGTCAGATATTTGTTTTGCTAAATTCCCTTTGCAATTTTAAAAATTTTAAGACATTATGAACACCAAACAAACCAGCTAATACACACAACTGAAAATTGATGGTCTATTGCAAAATCCCCCCCCCCCCCCAAAAAAAAAAACAGCAAAATTCCTACCCCTCAAGGAATTTTACTTTGTATTTGCTATAGTTTTATTAATATTTGTTACTATTATTGTCACTACAATACTTATTTATGCACACATTATAAACTACTTAATTACCTGTACATAAAGTGGGAGTGCGACTTGTGTATAACACTAGCTAAGAGTCCATTAGAGATTGAGTGCTCCCGAAGAATGTGAACTAAGATGGCGGACACCGGAACGTCGTCTGTGTACCAGGTTGGAGTTAGGCCATAATTTCAGTTACAAACACTACGGGAGTCACTTGGCTAGTCCCCAAACATGCAATGGAACTGAAAATAAGGAAAATTGGAATAATATTATGGCCTAATCCTAACCTGGTACACATACAACGTTCCGTTGTTTGCCATCTTGGTTCACATACTTCAGGGACGCCACAGATTGAATAAATAAAGTACTTTTTATGTACAGTGAGCGAGAAATGAGAGTCCAAAATACCCAATGGGAGAAATTCAGTGACAAGGGTTGGGTTGGCTTGAGCATTTAACCTGAAAATGTTACCATTGCAGATTTTCTTATTTGATGAGATGAGATAGAAAGCCTTGCTCGGAATAAACACAGCACAACGACCCTCGAAAAATGATGAATTGTAGTAAACACACTCATTTATCAAATGAAGTGTGAAATATAGCACCAGAAATGCTCATCTGTGCAAACAAATACTGTTATGCAAATACCCTTCGATTTTCGAAACATCAATATTTCTAATTTTAACATGTTTTGATGACACATACGAAACTGATCAATCACCTCTTTCCAATGGAAAAAATTGAAACATAATAGATTAGATCACTAGTAACTCCGAAGCTCAGGATTTTCGACACACTAAGAGATATTTCGATAGATGTTCACAAATCAGAGTTCTGAATTCTCAATTAAAAATGAAAGGAATATTAATAGAAGAATTACATGCTACCACTGATACCTTAATAAGAGATATTCAGGTTCTAACTAACACACTAACACTAACACACTGACAGCTAATAAACGGGTGTTCTTAAAGTAAAGTTCGAGCCCTCAAAAAATAAAAAGAATAATGAAAAAGGAGTTATATGCAACCACTGACACATTAAAATAGGTCCTGATCCTTCAAAAAAATTGGAAAGATTACTAATAAAAGAGTTACACTGTCACACTAAGAGATATTTATATAAATTTACTCAAAGCAAGACTGTAAGAACACTACTAATACGAGAGTTGCAAACTGCCACTGGCTCATTAAGAAACATTTACAGGTGTTATCGAAGCAAGATCACGAATCCTCAATGAATATTGGTAAGAATACTCATAGAAAGAGTATATACAACCACGGACACACTAGAAGACATATATATATATATTTATATAGATTTTCCTAAAGCAGGGTACTGAGCCCTCAACTAAAAATGGAAAGAGTACTGATGGAAGAGTTACACTGACACACTAAGATACATTTAGTCCGCGAGTCATTTAGTGTGGCCTCTGTGAACACTCAGATTCATCCCCACAAGGTATAAAATTCAAATCTGACAGTTTGCATGGAAAAACTAAATTTTTTGTGTGGCACAACTAGATGTCTGAAGTTGGTTATATGGCCCATCGTCAGAAAATGTTGCACGCCCCTAATATGGATTTTTTGAAAAAGAGAAAAGAAAGAGTATTATGCTACCACTGACAAACAATGCCATAGATTATTATGCTTTAACCTTAAAACAAATAAGCCAATGAAGCATAAAATGAATCCTAATTGAGCGTAAACAGAGAAAAAATCAACAGATGGTTTCCAATCAAAATGCTGATTCAGCATAAAATAGATTTCTAAATTTACCCTCAGGGCAAAGTAAATATTCGATTAGACAAAATGGAAGGAAATAATTAATTCGGAAAATACATGAAATACTTGTAGAAGGTTAAATGAAGTTTAGGCGAATTATTCGATTTGACAAAATTAGGCAAAAAATTAATTCTGGAAAAACAGGGAATAATTACGGAACATTTAATGAAAGTTCAGGCAAAATATTCGATTTGACAAAATTGAGCGAAATTATCAATTTGGGGAAATACAAAAAAACAATTGCGGAACATTTTAATAAAACTTTCAGAAATATTCGATTAAACAAAATAGAGCAAAAGATTTAATTCGGGAAAAACAGGGAATAATTGCAGAATGTTTAATGGAAGTTTGGGCAAAATATTCAATTTGACAAAATTGAGCAAAATAATAAGGATATGGTTCCATTACATTTGAACCCACGTACATTTGAACCCATGACAATTTCACCTGTATGCTATTGCACCTATGGAATTTTTTTTGTTTCACGGATAGTTAAACCCATACTAACCCTAACCCATGGGTTTTAGCACCCGCATATAGATTGAACCCGTGGATATACGCATGGGTTCAAATGTACATGGGTTCAAATGTACGGTCACCTAAGGATATACATGGAATAATTATAGTTATTCTTTGTAAAAATAAATCTCTGTTTGACAATTTCCTGTTTTTCTAGCGACCACTACCCATAATATCATATTATATAGTACAATCCTAACTATAATACAAATAAACAACAGATACTTTATGCCACGCCCTCAACACGTCCACCAATAAATGAGTTTATAAATAGCAATCCAAAGTACCCTTGAATACAACATACGTGTTTACTTAGACAGGCTAAACTGTAAAGTATATCCGGCTTAAAAAGCCAATGATGACAGTTATTTAAATCTTCAATAAACAATGTAGGAGGTTCACTACACCCAAGGTTTCCATTCAGATCTATTCTATATTATTATATAATGTCTATGAAGTCTTAAAATTCTGATGAACTAGCAGGGTTGTCCAAAACGAATCGAATATTCGTATGTATTCGAATACCTTTCCGACTGATTTTCGAATAATAGCGACTTTTCGTCGTCAGCGAGGTGTTTCGTTTTAAAGAGAAATCTTCAAACGATTTTCCGCACGTAATGCAATGACGGTGAAATAGTATCAGCACTTCGATTGTTTTTATCTTCTGTGCGAGCACGAGCCTTGTATTGTTGCACAGTCGCGAGATTGGCACTATCACCATTCTCTTGCAAGGCTTCTAATTTACGCATTCATTCGTATTGAGTCATGGGCCACGCATAAATACAACGCTTCGTTACAAATTACGAAACCCAATAAATTGTCTAAGTCCGAAAAAAACGAGTTGTTTTAATAGAGAAAAACATTTAAACTTTTTCTCGCTTTTGGCAAATAATTTTGATGATGATAGTCAAAAGTATCGACTTTTACTATAATGATTTTCTGTTGCGACAAAATATTCAAATTCATGAACAATACCAACATTTAAAATGCCTTGCCGTATTATTTTAATTTCATATTCGAAAATAATAATTTCGACGGTATTCGAAAAAGTGAATAATTCGGTAATGGCCATCCTTGTACACGACCACTACTTCATTAAAATACACAACACGTAACATCTAAAATGTTTTCTATACTGGTCCGACACTGCGATTCGTTAAGCGCTCTCCGAAAATTAATAGAATTGTATTAAAATAACTAAATATGATTGAATATTTTACATATTGTATTGCTTTATTGAATAAAAGTTTGAGAACCGCTGGCCTTCAGGCTTCATTAGAGCCTGGATGAAAAGTGTTATTTTCAAAATACGGTAATTATTTTTAATTTTTCTACCCCCCCTGAAAAAAATCCTAAAATAAATAAACAAATAAAAGGATATCTATTGTTTCGTCCAAGTCTTCCAAATCCCACTCGATTGATCGAACATTGTTCCGTAAATCGTTCGTCATTCTTTCATATTGGTCACGTTTGAGTAAACTTCCATCCGTCAATAAAGATCTCCATCTTTCTTGCATTACGCGACAGTTTTCAACGGACTTCTCCACTTCACTGAAAAATGAGTAAAATTAGAATACGCTTTACATATTCATCAAGAAAGGAAAGCCGAAAAAGACGGCTTAATATTATCACGAAGCACGGCCTTTCACCGGTTACCATTCCAGGTAGGGTATGGGATTAGTTAGTCGGTTATTTGTTTTCGGAAGCATGGATTTAATGGCTTAACTGACCAGTGGTTTCACGAACCACCTTATGCCGGGTGAGAATGCCACTAGTCTTCTCGCAGGAGGTTTAATCATAGGTGCCGGGGCGAGCATATTCCTGATGCTTAGTACGATGCGCTACACAACCGAGCCTAAGAATATTAGAACCCTTTGTATAGCTTCCCAAATTATTTTAAGAAAATAATATTGCGCAGTGAACCAAAATAGCTCATACCACATTTCGAGGTTTCAAGAGAATTACATTTTACTACAAATGAACATGAGATTTACTGAGGCGATGTATGAATTTGGCTCTTATCCAGAGAGTTAATAGCGGTAAATATATCAAGATTTTGCGAAATCGAAGCACAAAACAGCCTTCACGCTTAGCGAATTAAAAACTGTATTCCCATGAATAGAATATTAATACAGCGGTATTTTTGATGGATTATCAAATCTCATAATATTTATTTATAGAATATTTTGAAATAAATAAAAGCAATAGCCTTTTAGCGAAAAATACAATCAAAATTAAAAGCAATAGGACCATCAGTTCATAAGGCGTTTCATACCGCAACAGCATGAACAATAATAACAACAAATGGTCCATGGATACATTTCGTAATCAATCAACCAAATGAGAAATTATCAAAACAGGCGTCAAGCTTGAGAGCATTGTGACAAAATACTGTTAGTAAAAATGAAATACTTTTCAACTGGTTTCACCTCACGCTGTTACAATAAGAGATCTACCGCTGCATTATTGCGGCGTATCACGGTTCAGGTCATGGTAGCATCAATCTATCTATTTATTAAAGCAGGGGTTCTCAAACTTTTGGTGTTATGGAACCCGCAAATAGTTTGACTATTATTTATGGAGTGGCTATTATTTATGGAGCCCCATAATGAATTTATAAAAATGAAAAAACACACCGCATCGATTAACGTTCCTGAGGAAACTAAATTTACTCTATTTTTATTTCCTGCTTTGTATTAAAAAATATTCAGTATTTTAATAGGTAAATGAAATAGGCCCGTGAAATAGGTTTCTCTCGTAGCCCTGTGGCTCTCTATGGGCACTAAATCTAAGCATTAATACACTCACCTTTTAACAACAAAAAATGGGTCCTCCACAGACATTTTGCCTGTTTACTAATGGTTTCTTCTGTCTGTATACTTCTCTATTTTATTTCACCTCTTGAGGAAATCTTTTTACTGCCTTTCTTTTATTTCCATTGGCAGTTAGGTGATAAAATCCAGCAATAAAATTATGGTTGTTAAAAATTAGACGTTGCTTTAGTAAGACTTAATTAAAACCTGTGAAAAAAGTAAAAATTTAAAGAAAGGTTTCTAAATTTCAGGTCAAAAATGCAAACGAGGGTGTAATAAATTGGATGCCAAATGAGAAAAAGATACCAAGCATAAGATATCATTTTTTCAGTCTTCTATTGCTTACCCATTGGCAAATTAAAAAAGTTAAATTTAAACCTCTTTCACTGTTCAAACTGGGGGCCCTGATCCCCCGATGTGTCGCAATAGGACTCAACAGTGATTTATAGGTCGCAACGAAAAAAGATTTCACCAACACTTGTGCAGACTGTTTGTTAAAGTGAGGTATACATAAACTATGAACACTGAACTAGACTAGACAGTCTAAACCACAGTTTCGATTCATGACTCTATAGTGACACCGCCTGTCCCATCACTAATTAATAAATAACTCACTAATCTAAAAAGATCGATAAGTAACAATTGAGTTACTCTACTCTGTTCGCTAGTTAAGCATCAAAGCAACTTATAATTTTATATGATAAAGTCTGTTACAACCAGATCGTGTCTACTTTGATAGAACGGTATCTGTGGAATTATCTTTCATCCCCAACAAAAGCTGTAACTTAGCATTGAAAAGGTGCCCACTCATTCTGAACAGCCCATTAATAGAAGCGTTGCAAGAAGTAAGACATTGCACGCTCATGAAAACAAGTATCATTGAAATGATTCCAAATTTATAGACTTGGAAACCAAATAGCATGGTATGTAAATTTGAGCAGGCAATAATAGATTCATCATATGGGCTCAGAATCAAAGCATGGCAGGAATATAATAACAACAAAAAATATTCCAACCAGTTCTTTAAAGCAGGGGTTCCCAAACCACGGCCCGTGGGCCAATTAAGGCCCGTGTAAAGATTTGAAATGGCCCGTCGAACTTTAGTGAAAATGATAGTTTAGCCGTAATAAATACTAATACATTCACAACTTGTCAGCACGTCCTGAACCCATTGGTTAATTCTTTAATGTTAATTCTTCGCTCAATCGTCATTCTGCAATTGAACCCCCTATCGCCAAAAAACTCAATCAGATCTCGCAAAGCAATTTTTTTCAACAAGCAATTAATCACATTCACCTATGGCTCCTAAAAAGCAAAAATAATTGCGATATTGTGTCAAAACAGCTGTTAAACAAAGAACACGTGTTACGCCACTGCAAAAGTGTTGATTACCGGTGGTAAATCATGTTGCGCAATATGTGACGTCAGTCCCGTTTCTTTTTAGCCTTACCTCGTAAACCACGAATGACTTTCCAGACCCTATTCAGGTATGGCCAATCATGATGTATACCGAGAAATGCTTCCAGACCTCATTCGGGTATGGCCAATCATAATATATATATACCAAGAAATATCTCCCAGACCCATTCAGGTATGGCCGATTATAATATATATCAAGAAATGCATCCCAGACCCATTCAGGTATGGCCAATCATAATATATATATACCAAGAAATATCTCCCAGACCCATTCAGGTATGGCCGATCATAATATAAGTAAGGGAATACCTTCCAGACCTAGTTCGGATATGGCCAATCATAATATAAATCAGGGAATACCTTCCAGACCTAGTTCGGATATGGCCGATCATAATATAAATCAGGGAATACCTTCCAGACCTAGTTCGGATATGGCCGATCATAATATAAATCAGGGAATACCTTCCAGACCTAGTTCGGATATGGCCGATCATAATATAAATCAGGGAATACCTCCCAGACCTAGTTCGGATATGGCCAATCATAATATGTACAATGAATGCCTTCCATACCCTTTTCAGGTATGGCCGATTATGATACATACCAAAAAATACTTCTCAGACATCATTCAGATATGGCCAATAATAATATAAATTCTGAATTACTTCCCAGGCCCCTGCTGTGAAGTGTAATATCTGACAGATGCAGCATATCATTACAATATAACGAGATTATTTTACCTAAATAACTAAAAGTGCTTTTGTTCTGAGTGACTAAATATATTTTATTACGAAATATATGGTTTTATTTTTTATGTTTCAGTCATTTCAATTTTTGGCCGGTACATTATTGATAGGTTTTCTGTGAAATATTTTTAGGTGTGCATTTTTTTTTTATCTAGAAGCATAGCTCTAGTATTGCATTATATTACGCAATTTATGTTATTATTTTCTGTTCCATTCATTTCATGTTTTGCCGGTCCGCAAGTACAAGGTTGAGAACCACTGCCCCGAACGAGGGTTTCCCAAAATTTTTTGATCGTGGCCTCCTGTTTGTGAATCTTATTTATGACAAACCTCCATTCTATGTTGTATTAATTTCTGTGCCTGACCAACATGGACCCCAGGTTAGAAAACTCTGCCCTAAACTACAGAACTAGCAATAACACCGTGTATATTAGTATCCAAGATTGCGAGAAGGGCCGAAAAAACTTTTGAGGAGGTCTCTCGGGCCGCAGTCGAAGAAAACCCAAAAGTGATCCCAACATCGCGAGTTTACTCACTTCAAATATATATGATAAGAGAGAAAGTTTATTGTTCCACCAAGTTTTTCAATGAAACTATATAAAGCCCTCAGTTATTTTAAAATTGCTTCCCGAATGGTATTTTCGGCATCTTTTCTCATGTTTGGTTCTGTAATGTCGCCTAAAATTGTATTCTTTGTGGCAGATATTACTTGAAAACACACCAGACACTGTGGTTTAGCATTGTTGTGGGTAAGAAAATATGTTTCCTATCAGTTTACTTCTGTCACCTTTCTGTCACCAGACTCAGATAAAAAAACTGGATCGTGTGGCGCTAAGTCAGCTCTGTGGTTCGTCACTGCTGTCACATGACCAACAATTAGAAACAGAGGCCGAGAAAAGATTTTATACTATCCAAATGAGGAGTTACCAGTACCGTACTTGACGCGAGCTTAAAGCACGAAGTTTAGATAAAAAGCACGACTCATCTCATCGGCTTGGTCCTGTCTGCACAAGACAATTCATTCTCATATAGGCAACGTCTTGACATTTATAGATACACCATTGAAATTCCGTTATTAAAAATAATCAAAAAATGTTCTGCCAATAAATACAAATATCTGCCAATGCAGCAATGGTTCAGTGCACGATAGAATTGTTCTGCAGGCCGCAGTTTGGGCCAACAGACCACCCTGACATACAAGCATATGACTGCAAGACTGTATGACATAAGAACACATACCGGTAAGTTAGATGCTGGAGTAAGAATGACAAATAGATCTTAAGACACCTCGGCAGATATTAAGTATTTGGTTATAAACTATCTGTACCTATAAAACGTGGCTCGGCGGTGTGGCACATCGCTGCATCGTGCGATGCGTTAGGAATACGCTCGCTATCGCATCTCTGATCACCCTTCGTGGGATCGCAGGTTCGAATCCCATGCGGAAATTATCATGTGCGAGAGGATTGCTGGACTCCGCGCTGCCGTAGGGTGGTTCACATAACCGCTGGTCGGTTACGGTACCATACCGTACGGCTTCCTCCACCATCAAGTCCATGCTAACTAATCCCATACACGACCTAGACTGGTAAACAGACGAGAGGCTGTGGTTCGCCATATGATTAAGCCGTCTTATCGCCTTTCCTCTCCCTCGGAATAAATATGTAAATCCTATCCTAAACCATAAGTCAGTACCGGTACCGATGCAAGTGTTTCTACTGATTACCGTTACGGCGGTACCGGTACCTAGAACTCTTATACCGGTACCGGTACGGTAATACTGTTCCGTACGGTTTACGTTACATTTTTGTTCGCCTAAAAGAAAACAGAACACACTGACTCAATAGGATACCGTAGTAAACTAGTCCTGGCCACAATCATTTATTTTTTGCCAATTAAATTCCAATGCCAAACGAAATTTTCGTATTATTATTTTGGAATCGAATCATTTTAGTCTATTTTAAATCCATAGTTTTTTGTTTCCATGTTTTTGTTTTCTCAATTTAAATCCCATTCCCCCAATATATATCAAGAGTAGCGTACAAATCCAAATAAATACAAAATTCATACCAGTACCATGATTTCATTGATTTACGGTAATATAATCACAAACCAAACCTGACCACAAACATGAAATAAATATGTTTCGGGAAACAACTACAGGATAACCAAGAAAAAAACCCGAACATATGATTATAATAAAACAAACAAGAAATAGGTCGCCGTAGAAGAAGTCTTGAGTAGCTTTCTTCGCTCTGCCGTGATCACTCAAGTGTGACTATTCTATAATGAGTATAAATGAGTATAAATTATATAGGTATAAGTTTATTTAGTATAATAATGTTAAGTATAAGTTTATTTCGACTCCATAATCAGCAAAACAATAAAATGAATGCTAAAAATAAATAAATAAAAACTGATTATGAAATCAGGAGAGCGAACAAAACCTTAGATAAGGTTTAAAACGTACAGAATGTATATAAGATGGAAGGTTTTGCCAAGAAGATGTGGTACGTGTTCACTCATCTAAAATAATTGAAATATTTCACACACGCTCACACGCACCCACACACACAACCATATAGAAGTTATTAAGTAAAGGGAACATGAAAAATTACATACTGGTAGTTAATAAAAAATAAATAAATAAAAATTACTTGCCACACCATATTAATAAATTTATCATGATTGCCACTGCCAAATTGATCAATTTTATAAATGGGAGTGAACAGTAAAGATAAACTTTTATAAAAAAATATATTGTCAAGCTGATTATAGATGGAGTCAAATGCCAAAATGCCCAACCAAAGTTGCCAGAATTGGGTGCATGAAGAGGTGGGCTAGACCACCTCATTGCCCAAACTAGAGCCTATTATTGCCAAATTGTAGTCCAGATTGCAATAAGTATTTAAATCTATCAGTAACTTTATAAGTATGAGTAATTATAATTAATTAAGGTAGAAAGACAGGGTATAGGAATATGTTGGTTGCTAAGGTTATAAGGTTTTTTTTTTCATTCTTAGATATTGACTTCTGCA